CCGGTCCAATATAAGTTTGAGACCCCGCGTCCAAAGACATGCTGTATTTGGCTTTGGGGGAAAAGACTCGCTTAAAGTCCCGAAAAATGTTGAAATTACGATTGATGTCGACACCGAATTTGCCGTTTCCGAAGGATCTGCGATTTTTGCGCCAACACGAGTCGGTCTTTTGGTCATGATCAATTCCATCGGGGTTGACCGCGGGTATGAAGGCGATGCCTACCCCCAACGCCGCTCGTACGTCAGAGACGGTATAACTTTGGTTTTCGTATGTGAGGCCAGTGTTATGCTTGTCTGCCCAAAGCAAGTCTGAAAGAAAGTAGATGATATTGTCTGGGCCCCCGCGTTCGCGAGCGTGCACACCACCGGTAAAGAATACACGTGGTTTGGCTGAACCAATTACACCTAAGTAAATAGGTCTTTTTTCTACTGATGGTTCAGTTTTGGTGTCGAGTTTCAGCTTATCAGGGTACGCCTTTTGGAGGCTCTCGACGGCCGATCCAATCTCGTTAATATTAAGGATAGCCAGCTTGTCTTCATTTTTAAACAATCCGGGGTTTGAGCCCATACCCTGCGGTACTGTACCATCTTTGAAGCGATTTTCTTTACCGATAGCCAAAAAGTTTATAGATTGCCGCTTATCATGAACAGTAGCCTTGTCTTCCTCAAAGTCCCCTGGAAGTAAACAAGCGCTGACAGCGAAACCAAAAGTAATGGCGGGAATAGTGAATGAAAGTCTCATGATGAGTGTCTGTTGTTCTCAGAAATGACGGAAAATACAAGGTTACAGCCTTGCTAATGAACGGATGGCATACAGTTGAGGAGGCCAAGCAATATTTAAAAGGAATGAATGGAAAGCCTTGTGGTTTTGGAAAGTCATGAGGCTGACGAGTTTATACGACCGCTAGCTTCTATTTATTATTTTGTGTACAGTGCTCAGATGGTTTCCTTTAACGGGCTCATCACAACATGCCGACTATAGAGAGCCCCAATCAATCATCCTGTTCAAAAACTCCCCTTCTCCATCAGCATGGCATACTGAGTAAGGCTTGGAGCTTGCTTGACATGGCATTGAGTTTTGTTAAATTTCATCCCGGTCATGGACAGTATCGTATGTCTCCGATTATGGAACAGGAGAACCTCCGCAGAGCAGATCCACACCACTTCGGCCAGTTGTAACGGCGGCTTGGACTAGAATGTCCAGTTTTGGCTTTGAATGCATCCAACGCTGTAACATGGTGGATGTGTAGTTATCGGCACCCCCGCTCGTATCTGTAGGGGGCGTTAGATGTACTGAGGATTATGACGATTCCGACAATATCTAGTATTTTGTATGACTTCCGTCCGCAGCAATAACTGCTGCACAACGTGCCGCACGGCATTGAATATGTCAAGCTATCTAATTCGTGCAAAAGAATAGCATTCCAAGCTTCTGTAATTATAACCCGGAGCTAATCATAGCTAGTATCTTCCTTTGGGGAGAATAACGCGAAACACGCGCTATATCGGTACTTCAAGAACGCCTTGCAAGTAACCATCTCCACTGACAATAACTTGGCCTAAGACCTAGTAATAGCCTTTTTTCCCTTTTTTCCCTCTTTCTCTTTTTTTATTAATTTCATGCATGAACACAAAGCATAACAAGTTTCCAGGTTCGGCTGAGGCGAGGCCTCCACATTTTATGGTAGCTTGCAATGTTTTGTCGCATAATTTTAATGGGTCAGCGACCAGCTCTGACTCAAACTTTGAAAGCAAGGGCATCATAACCTGATATGCATAAAACTGACAGTAACTGGGCCGGCCGGTGTATTTCCCCTTAGCTGTTTTGCAAACAACCAGGCCCCACCCGGCAGCTGAATTTCCCCGAGTCATGAGTTGGAAGACGCTAAGCAATCTGCACAGGGTTAATAACAGATAGTCAAGACTTTCAAATGAAGGCGTTCATCAATTCCAACGATATTATTAATGGTAGAGTCTCCACTTATAGCCTCGTAAGCCTCCTTAATTCGTGAAACTAGCAGAGCAAGTCATGGCGTCTTTCTGGACATCCTAGGCCCCGGTACATCAGCTTTTTTGTTTCAAAATTGAATAATTGTCTTACAAGCGGACTAGCGCTTGAGTTGTGTGTCTCAGTATGTGAGGAAGGTGTTGTGTAGTCGTCGTCATCCTACTCAACGTTCCGTGACAGAATAAAATTGGCATCAAAAGATTACCGCGCTTTGGCATTTCATCTCACTCGCGGCTGTCACAGTGTTGTATAGTCAATGTGGATTTCAGGGGCAGCCCAGCCCTTTGTTTAGTATGTATTTTCCGCATTGATCTACAAATAATGTAGCATCATCTATTTGGCATAAATCCACGGGATTGAGCTGTGATTATGTTCCTATAAGTTTGATTACCACCCTGCTTGATATCTTCGCTCGTTCGTCATCACAACTACACATTTTCTCTCACCGGCCCATTTCGTCTTGATACATCGTCTCTACAATTAGCTATTTTCCTCCATCTTTTCATTATCCTGACCATTACTCGAACGACAGCCCATACCCTAGTAAGAATGGTTCGCATTTTTGTTTCTGTTCTACTGACTTGTAAGTTCTTTATGAATAGCAGTTGCTAGAGAAAAATGTTCCACTTCCTCCTAAACTAAGCTAATATCAAAGCAGTCGCCGCTTTCGGGTTGGCAGCGCCGCCTGCGTCTTCAACCGCCGTGGAAAGCACTGCCACCTCCACGAGCACCGAACCTATTGATACCTCCACTGGCGGAGAAAAAGAAGAAAGTCCCGAAGAGAAGAAAAAATTTGTGGAGTTCTTGAATGTTGTTCTTGAAAAAGCAAAGGAGGATGCCGCCACTTCTGTTGATAAGCAGATATAAGACAAAGGTTTTTGTCTACTCCAGCTGTCTTTGTACGAAGCACAGGGGCTTCAGGTGACGAGGGTATCGATACCGGAAGGTGAAGCAAAACAAGAACAAAACAATTTCATTCATCTGATCTGGGTTATCTAAGAGAGAAGAAGAGAAAGAGGAATGCCCTTGAGAGCGCCGTATATAAGAGGCCCCTAAGGTGGCCACGTGACCTTGTCCGCAGTTGCTTGTACGCTTGACGAGGGTTCCAACACTTTTTCGTTGCTGAGACTTGTAACAGGCGTCTTGACAACGATTCCAAGTTGAGTTCTCGATAACTGCTACTGTGGATCCACACCGATCTCACAAGTCACGGTATCTTTGATCAAATGTAACCAAATATTTTGAACATTGAGTTTCCCGCTAATATCGCAAATTATCCTCTATTTCCAATTCTTGCCATCTTCTATGATAGTGACAAAACGCAAGTTGCAGGCGTTGATCTGTCCTAGAATACTCCCGCAACGAAGCACCCGACATTGATCTAATAAGCCGCAAAGCCTAGTTCTCAGCAAATACATCTAGTCCTTTATTATTCCTTTCTTAGGTTACAATAATCCCCTTAGATAGGCTTAACCAGCAAGAACAACGGCGCCTCTAGCAGCTCTGTTGTCAAAATCAAGCCATTTATTATGCCTATAAATCTGCCTAGCCCCCACTTACCCTATTCAGCCTGAGACACAGATTCATCATGCATGTATACTGATCCATGATTGGGTTTCTTACTCTAGGTGTGTGTTGATATAACACCTCATCTCGAAAATTAATGCTGCATGTTTCTGTAACATTACCATATGCATGTCAGATCGGTGATGCTGCGCTGCGCCGCGCCGCAAACTAACCTGTTCTGTTCTTCTTCTTCTTTATTTTTATGCATAGACTTATTTGCTCCAAGATGTCAAACGCATTGAGGACGGGCAACTTTTTAAACAGCCTGCCAGGCGCTCCCATCGCGTCCTTGGCCTTGAAATTGCTCCCAATTTTGATAATTATTCATTTATTCAGACAACCGCCTCGGAGCAAGTCAAGTGGAATCCCCTTTCTTTTTGATGCCGTGCCTTTTATATCCAATACCTGACAGTTCATGACAAGCAAGAAGCAATTCATTAAACGAAAGGGTAAGGTCCGGTAGGACTCCTGAGTTAATGTGCAGAGAAGGAGCCTACTGACAGATAGCTTAATATTGTGTTAGCGGAAATAATCCTCTAGGGTGACAAGGTTAAATTCACGTGCGTTGTGGACTTGACTAATTTAGTTAATCTAAATAGTATAGCTATAAGTAGTGCAATCGCGCCCTTCGAGACAGGCCATTATCAAGAACAGAATTAACTAAAGTTTTCCCTCGAAGTTTACTTAGCTATTAGTGCCTCACACGCTTATTTATTATTTTGTTTAATTAAAGTGCGTAGTTGCTCCACAAGAGTCAATTAACCTGCAAGACTATTTAATCTCGGCATGATAAAGGTCACTACAGATTACAGGAAGCCTTTGCGAGAAGCCTTCCACGAGTGTACGGAGCGTTGCTAGGTGTGTGTCAGACCTTAGTATACGTGAGTGTTTAGGTGTACCTTTTTGGGTCAACAAAATACATATATAATATAAGCTATTATATAGCTTATAATTATACTTTAATAAAAGTAATCTAACACGCTGCTTCTGCCTCTAGAAATAGCAGCACCTCTAAACAGGCATCGCGCGCCCGCTGCCTTTAACCCCGCCCGCTAGCAACACTACACAAATATAAATACGCCGTGCTGCCCTCGCTCTAGGTCCTTAATTGAATATGCGTTATTTTTTAATAAGCCTAGATAGTGTTGATATGTGCGCCCGCAAAATTTAATAGGGGTCCGAGGTCGTGCGTCCACAGCTTAGTCACAATGCCTGTACTTATTAGCCGAAAGGCCTGTGCTTGATAGCAAGTCCCCAAAAAAAAATTTGATTTCGCCCGGGCTTGAACCGGGGACCACCTCGGTGTTAGCGAGGTGTCATAACCAACTAGACCACGAAACCAAAGGTTATCAAACTAACCAGATAATACTCAATAAGAGCCAGAAAAGGCTAAAATATAACTCAAAAATAGAAAACAAAAAGAATTTGGTTTCGCCCGGGCTCGAACCGGGGACCACCTCGGTGTTAGCGAGGTGTCATAACCAACTAGACCACGAAACCACTAATCGCTGACAATGTAGCGAATACTTTAGCATTATAAGGATAGTCTCTATAGCTAAGGTAGCGAGGTTTGACCTCTTCTTTCAGCCGCAGCATTCTCCTTCTTTACGTACCCAGCACACCAGCAGTGGCGTCTATATTTCTACTTACGAGGCTCCTAAGCCGTGTTATATCGTATAGCTAGCCAATGCCGCCACGTGGAAGGCGGCCGCTAATGCGACGGATAAGTCGCGGGGATAGCGGCATGGGTAAGGAGCTCATGGGATGCGATACGGGAGGGGATTAGATGTGTATCGCTATGCGCCGTATTGCGTCGCTATGTTCTGGAAAGCAAATTTGTCTTGCGGGTAAGTAGAGATTGCCTATACTTCAAGGAAATTCAAGATGAGCAGGCCAATAGTTGGAGTCCTTTGCGAGGGACCAGCCTTGCGACCCCATGTCACTCCGCCATCAGAGATACCCACCGCCTGTACCTCCGTTGTCGCCATTATGACTGTGATACCATAGCGACATGGACCTCGCCTCGCTGCATGTAGACGTTAATGTGAGAAGTAGGTTTTACCCGGAAGATTAGCCGTGTGTGCGCACAGGTACTGCCGCGCTGCGGTCAAGTGAGGCATTATTGGGACATAGTATTGCAGGATCCAGGATACAGGTATCCGACGGAAAGAATCAAAGAGGCGCGTCGAAATGTGCGAATTATTGTCTCCCAGATCCCGGTGTCTTAGCAAACCGTGATTCAGACAGTAGAGAGTCAAGCGCTATCACGACAACAGTGGTAATTACCCCCAAAAAAGCCAAGCATCTCTGGAGCTCGACAATGGCTCAGGTACGGGCCGCTTTGGTTGTTCCTGTTGCGGAGCGATACCAATATATTGATAATGTGATCGTATCTGGTGTCCGATTGTACCTTGTGGACTACACCACCGTGAGCGCTAGATTTGAGGAGGTTGGGTACCGCACAACTTATATTTCATGCTTTGCTAACGCCTTCATATAGAGCAGAGTCCTCGGAGACTAATCCTCAAGCGAGACGACTGCGCCTAGCTCCAGGCCTCATATATCCTCACCCATCCCTTCTTCCTCCAGACCTTCGAGCTGACTCTTGATGAGTGCCACCAGGTTGTTGATCTGCTCGACCATAACTGAACCGCCCCCACGGATGAATCTGACTTTGCATTCGCTATTCTCGCCATTGAACTGCTTGACTTGAAGACGAACCCTCCGCGAAGCGTCTGCCTCAGTCGCCTTAACCGCGAAGCAGTCGGCCTGGGAAGTTTTATAGAGGAAACCTTGAAGGAAGATTTCCTCCCTATCGCGCAAGTTGAAGTACTCCCGTCGAATGTTGAATCTGATATTCCAAGCAAGGACATACCATAAGAAACCATGGTGTCCCACGACTCTCGTGCAACCTTCCATCAACTCCCTTAGAGACTTACTAGTCTTTACGGCTGCGCTAACGGCTTGTGATCGGCGTTTCTGGTAGATGTAGTATGCATATACAGCCTCGTCAGTGCTATCCTGTAGCGCTTGAAAAGCACGCGCACATGACAAATAGTATTCTCTCTCTTCACTTGTGGCATTCTGAATCAGTGCTGTGTATGCCAGATGTCAGCTGATTGAGGAAGGTTCCCGAACAAATCCCTGCCAAAGAGGGTTGGCAATATTGAGCCCGCGGCAGATGTGTTGATGTTCTCGGGGGCTATGTAGATTTCCCGCTCGGCCTTTGGGAGGGTCTGAAACATTAGCCTGCAAGTCCAGAATTCCAGTAAGTTTTTCTCGATATGTTTGTCCTTGTCCGTATACGCGATAACGATCCGTACTGAGACCGAGTCAGAACGAGAATCCCATACGTGGTAGTGAAGAGATGGATGCCGGGCATGGTGCCATGGGTTGCAGTGCTGTTGATTGATTCGGTAACCCAGGTGGTCGGCTTGTCCGCCGTAGCCGTAGAAATCATCTTGGTCGGGTGGAAAAGCATATGGAAATAGATCCCAGATCGTTCGAAATCAATATCCCTACGAATGGCAACCAACCTATAGAAGAAATTATCAGTTAAAGATACCCTTACTAAGTGTGAAGAAAGCGAAACATACTCATCACGCCCAAAACTTCCTTTGCCAAGAAGCTCGAGCACGTCACGGTTAACGTAGACGGAACAGCTGGAGGCACATTTCTCGCTTAGTGACAACTTCCTGGATTTCAAGTTGTTTCTTCGAGACACTAAATTCTGCCAGAAGACATAGGCGGGGTGTAAGTAGAAGTGCGCAGGTCACAATGTTCCACAATACATTGGGCAGCGAGGCAAATTCTGCAGAGAGAATCGACGAGGCGATGACTAAAGTCATTGAATCGCAAATACCGACGTACAGGCGTCAATCGCGAGCCGTGTCGCTTCGTGCCAGTTCTCGGCGTGAGGTACCATGGGTTCGGGAAATAATTAAGGCGCAAAGGCAGTGCAAGTTTCTGCATTTTGCACGACGGATGGTCATCAACAAGTGAGGCTGACCGACTTTAGCCGTTTGTCACAGCTTGCTGTTATCCAATGAATCGTCGGCATGCGCTCAGCTAATGTGCCACCGCAACCCTGCCCGCAGGACTTGCCGTCCTGTCCATCAAACTCGGTCTGGCTTATCTAAAGCTGCAGTGCGACGAGAAAACACGGCCTGACTCGGCTACTAGGAGTGGCAGGATGCAAGATTTTGGCTCAACAGTCGCAAGTTCGGCAACTGTGCTGTGTTGCGTTGGCGGTACAAGTACAAATACATGCTGCAATGTCAGGCTAAGAGCTGGACCTAGAGGGTGATACATAAGCAGCCTCCTCGACCAGATATTCACGACTCTTTTTGTCCATGCAGGTGCCGCAGCCCAGCTATCATTGCAAGAAGTATTATCCTAAACTCTTTTCGCCCAGAGCTGTTATGACCCCTCGCAAGTGCATGGCCCCGTCTGGCTAACGGGGCGCTGTCGATAGATGCAGCTGCGATAGTTTATGGATTCCATGGTGTTGGCTCTATTCCGTTCGTCGTACGGAGTTCTCCGTACCCTAGTCAATATATTACGGTATGAATCTGTGCTGTTGATCGGTGGTGATGTGACTCCGTAGGTGACTATATAAGACCGGGGGTTCGCCGTGGGCAAGATTGTTCGCTCTATCGCCCACCAGTGTGTGCTATTGACGCAGCTCTGTCATTCTGGCTCCCAGATGAGGAATTCTGCATCCTTCAATATCTATCATCATCGAGACCACATCAATACATATCTATTTAAATAAAAAGTACTTTGTATAAAAAAAAAATCCTCTCCACGGCCACTAATCGTCCTTTTGATTCGGCACCGCCTATGAATCTCAGCTACAGAGAGTATCAGCTTTCAAACACCCACGTTTCACAGACTGTTTCAATCACTCTTCGACTTGCGAATTCATTTGCATTTAGCTACATAACCCACCTAGAGAAATCTCCGCACTGTGAACCCTGAGGCCTCAGCAACCAAGTACTGTCCTCCGTACGGAGTTACTCCCCCCGTAATCAATCGCGCCCCGTCCTGCAAGGCTAACATGGCAGGGGTCAGATGGGAAGTGGGGCCGAGACATGACGATTGATCGCTTGAGAGGTGGCAGAATTCTGCCTCCCGCCTACCAAGTGTTTATTGTGCAGTTATTTACGTAGTAATATATATTTTTATATATTTGTAAAAACCTCGCTGGGGCGAAGGCAAGCGTGAGTTTCCCGTACATCCACTACATTACTGCAAAGCTGCGGAAGAAACTGCGAGCTCTGACTTTCCGTGGTCTGCGGATCGTAAGTCTCGCCAACAAAAAAAAGCATTCAGAGTGCTCACCACCTGGCCCACCTAGAAAATCTCAAATTCAAGCTTTCACCTCGCCTCGTCTCATATCTCAACCTCCTCGCCTCACGCGCCTCGGGCCTCACGCCTCAAGCACCCGCATACTATCGTGAGCCGGCCATCTCAGTCAGTCATCATGACCACGGAACAAGATAGGCCCAGTTCGTCGGATGCGCTGTCCGAGGGCAGACGCATTTGGCTAGGTAAGCCGGACCCCCGCGGACCCTCGCTCCAGTTGCTTTCACGCCTCAGCCGCTCGTCCTGACCCCACCATGCAGGCAATCTTCTCTATACCGTGAGTGCTCAAGAAGTCGAGGAAGGTTTACGGGATAGTGGGTTCGACGACTTTGAAGCCGTGCATGTCAATGTTGATCCCGTCTCGGAACGCAACCCGGGCTACTGCTTCGTTGATTGCGCCAGCCGCGAGAGCGCCGAACGTGCGCTCGAGTCGCTGAACGCCACTATTGGGGGTCGGACTCTCAAGGTCGGCCCCTGCAAGCCAAAGCAGCCTCGCACGAACAATCGCTGGGGGAGTGAGAGCCGTTCGAGCTTCTCGCGATGGGGAGACCGACCCGCCGGCAAATCTGCCGATGAAGGACCTGGCCCGAGACAGGGCGGTAATAACGGCTACGGTTATGGTCAGGGCCCGCGCGGGTCGTCAAATCCCGTCGACGACGCTGTTAGCGAGGACAGTGGTCGACGGGTCTACGTTGGTGGCCTTGGTCCGAATGTTGACCAGGCTGAGGACAGCGCAGAGGTGACTGAGCTGTTTGCCGGTTTCAAGCCGTAAGTGAATAACCAGCAACGAACTGGCAGCAATGCAATGTATGGAAAGGTAGCCCATCGCTGACCTTGACTAGCCTCGAGATAAGCAAACGCATCAAGCCCCATGAGAGCACAAGCTCCCTACCGGGCAATCACCACTACTGCTTTGTTGACTTTGAGACCAAGGAGGAGGCGCAGACGGCCATCGACACTCTCAACGGCAAGGTTACCGAGTCTGGCCCGTTGAAGGTATCATTGGCGAAACCACCCCCCAACAAGTCCCGCGACAGAGCGTCCCCCTTCAACAACAGCAACAGCAAGTTCGGGGATCGCCCGCGTCGCAGCCCCAGAGACCAAGACGGCCCTCAGGTAGAAGGCTCCCCGGC